GGTCCTTTGAGGAGGTCTTATGAGATCGCGACTTGAAAGCAGACCGAAGAGTCGAACAAAATCTTTAGGTTATGATGTGAATATGCATCAGATAGTCTTTGCTATTGCAGAATAGTCAATACAATCATACTGAATCGGTCCCCCGGCGGATTATGTCAGGCTAGTTGGGCACGGCTCGCTTTGGGCCGTTTGACCCTACATTTATTCTTATGACCTTCGCCTTCCTTTCGGAGGGTGATTCTAGTATACAATGATTTACCCTTAGATACCTTTGTGTAGCACGATGTTCTTGCTGCCTCGTTTAAAAACCTTGCCGAAAAACCGAGTTGGACAAAAACCGGTCGAAGGAAAAAAGAGTGCAGCTCGTGCTTTCAGTCTCTCCGATGTCCGATTGTCTTAGCACCGATCATCGACCTTGCACGGGTTAGGATCGGACAAGTCTCAAAAAAATTTACTGGGAAACGAAGAAGAAAGAAGACTTACCTTAGAGTAGTATCTCTTCAAGTGCCTATATCCATTATTGGGTAGTTCTTTTCCCATCCATCGTTCCTCTAACCTGTACGAAACCCTTTCCGGTTACCTTCAAAACGGTTGTAAGGGCCTTCCCAGTTCGGTTCCTAAATTTCCCTTCGTAGGGCTTCTCGAGTGTTGAGGACCTTATTCTAGTACCAACGTCCCCTATATTGAAGTGTCGAAGAAGAGCCCTTCGGTTATAATATCTCTCGACTTTTTGTTTCTTGAGCTGCAAATCCTAACTAGGCGGCCTCTCTCCTTTCGTCTCAAGATCCCAAAGCTGCGTGAAGCATTGCTTTTGGTTGGGTAACCTCGGCGTTGCATTACCGGGAATCAGCGGCTGGGTTCACCCACTCGCTTGGAATCAAGGCCTCGGCTCCGTAAAACCAAAGAGAAAGGAGTGGCACCGGTACTAGTCCTTTGCGTTGTCCGGTAGGCCCAATAGGATTTCGGGCAGCATTTCTATCCATTTTCCTTTTGCGTCTCTGTAACCTTTCTTTAGGTTCTGAAACGATGGTCTTGTTTGGTCGACTTCAGTCCTGCCCGTTTCCGGTGGGTGGTCCGGGGTTGACAATACCCTCTTGATCTTGTTTATCCTCGAAGAATTTTGATACCTTTGCTCCCAACGACTGTTTTCCCATTCGTCACATACTATTTTGGAAGCAAATCCCGAACCGACACACGACGTGGTCCCAAAGGAAGTCGATTACTTCTTTTCTCTCGAACCTTTTCGTAACGCCATGCGCATCAACCCATTTGGAGAAATGTCAGTAACAAAAGGAATAAATTGAGCCTTACCTGGAGCTCGAGGAAGCGGCCACTATGTCCATTCCCCATTTCATGAAAGGGCCATGGGGAGATGACCGAATGCAGCAGCCTCAGCAGGGCTGATGGATGGATATGGCGCATGCTTTGACACCTTGTCGCATCTGTCGTACCAATTCCCTTGCATCCTGTTCCATTGTTGACCCAGTTATATCCAGCTCGAAATTATTTTTCGGACCCAAACGCATCGCGCCCGACATTGGTTGCCACATAGACCCTTCGTGGATTTCCCTTAATACGTACTCGTGTTCCTGTGGGCCAAGGATATGGCGAGTGGTCCTCGAAGGTTTCTTTATTATAAGGACTCCGTCCTGGCCAAACAAAAACGCGGCCGCTTGTTCTCAATGCCCTTGAATTCTTTGGGTCCTGTGGGAGTTTTCCTGTTTTTAGATAGATCCACATACCTGTTTCTCCAGTCCCAGTAAGGCTAGTTGAGTTGACCTCGGCGCTGCCCTTCTTCTACGACCGACCTCAATTAGCTGTACCACTTTTCGGACTCGAGCTCGTCGTCCTTCGACTGTCGCAGCCCAGATTGGCGAGGGCATCGGCCCTCGCTGTTTTGATCTCGGGGTACGTGTTGGGAGAGTTCCATTCTTTGAATTTGTGCAAGGTGTTTGGAGTTTGTCGACATACCTTTGCATCCGGCTCTCCCTCGGCCTCGAACGTTTTGTTCGTCTGATTACCACAAGAAGAGAATCGCACTTTGGTTCGATCACTTCGGCGCCGAGGCTCCTGGCTAATTCTAAACCTGCAATCATGCCTCATCTCGGCTTCATTGTTAGTCAAACCTTCCTCGTCCGTATAGGATGCCTAATGACGTTCCCCGGTAGGAGGTTTTAGTTGATCCCAATTCCCGACCCCTTTACGTTCGAAGCCCGTCCGTGAACAATGTCCATACTCTGGCGGAGTCCCCGGAGCTCAGCAGGAGCTCTTTTATCGACCAGTAATAAGCGGTCGGTGTGAAAGTCGGCGATTAAAATCAGCCAATACTTGCGACTTAACGGCTCTCGAGGTCGATATTGGGAATATCGTATCGCTAACCTCTTTATGGCCCACTTGGGCAGCGCGGACAATTCGGGCTATGCATGACATTTCTTAATTGGGTATGTAGTTATACATGTATGGGTGACTTGTGGAAGTATGGCTTCAATTTTCTTGAGGCACTAATTAGGGCTAATGCCAATTTTTCTAGGTGAGGATACTTCGGTTTCGCTCCCCTAGTGTCCTACTTACGTTAGTAGATGGGGAACTGGGTGCCCTGTTCTTCCCTAACTAGGACCCCACTGACGCGGCTACTTCCGATACGGCCAAAGTAAGTATAGAGGCTCTCCGATTTTCGGAGTATGCAACAAAGGTGGATTTAGAAAGGTACCTTTTGAGTTCCTCTAGGGCGTGCTGGCATTCTGGTCCCCGACCGGTGAAATCATTCTTTCTTCTTAGAAGATTGAAAAATCCGATTGGGCTCCCTATCCGAGGATTGGGAATAGTGAACCGGCCTAGAGCAGCTATGCGCCCGGTTGAGCCGTTGGACGACCTTTACGTTATCGACAATTCTTTATTCCCGATTGCCCTTAATCTTATTCCGGGATTGATCTCGATTCCCCTTGTTGGACACCATAAATCCTAGGAACTATTCCGGATCCGACCCCGAACGCGCATTTTTCCGGTTCAGCTTCATGTTATATTGCTTTTAATATAGCAAAAGTTTCCTTGCAAATGGCTAAAGATGTTCCTCTGGCGCAGGGACTTTAACTAACATATCATCAATATAAAACTTCCATGGTTTCGCTAATTGATTCTCGAACATCTTGTCTAACTAGGCGTTGGTAGGTGGCCCCTGCGTTCTTTAACCGAAGGGCATCACGTTATAGCAGTAAGTGCCATACTTTTAGTGATGAAGGACTGTTTTTTCCTGATCGTCCTTATCCATCCGGATGCTGATATATCCTGAATAGGCGTCGAGAAACTTAGCGTCTCGTGGCCGGCCGTGGGCATCGATCAGTTCGATCGATGTTTAGCAAGGAGAATCGCGTTGGGCAAGCTTATTTTAGATCTTATAAATCTTACACATTCTTAATTTATTACCTTTGGGGCTAACAATACGTTGGCTAAACCACTCGGAGGATTTGAACTTCCCGGATGGACCCTAGTTTAATAGACTTAGTTACGCTCCTCGGGTGATGAAAGCCGTGCTTGACGCTCGGATTGCGGGCCTTTCTCTTTGGTTTGACTGGGCCGAATTTGGGTCTGTGCTCAACTTGGAGCGTGACTCCGGTATGCGCCTGTCATATCCAAATGGGACCAAGCAAATACGATCTTCGTTAGCAGCAGAAAAGAAGAGCAAATTTTTCCCTGAGCTCGTATCTCTCTCTG